CATTTCTTTGCTAGGTTGACAACCACATCAAGATGTGAAAGCATAAATGCGGTTGTTGCAAGGTATGAAAATGAGAGGTTCTGTTTGCTTGACTTTTTCACTCAATACGACCGGTGGCTCAGAGACATGAGAGAGACAGAGATTAGATTAGATTTTGAGTCTAATTATGGTGTAGTTCCTATAAAGAATTCAATCCTAAAGCCCCTCGAGCAAAGTGCAGCAAAGCTTTTCTCAAAGGCTGCATTTCTTTTGTTCAAAAATGAGTTGGAGGAGGTTATTGGAGTCATTAAGGGTAACCAAACTGAAGAGGGGAACCTACACACTTACACTGTTACCATGTTCAACAAAGAGAAGGTCATAGAGGTGAAATACAACATTGAAACAAGCGATATGGAGTGCAGTTGTCAAAAGTTTAAGAGTATTGGGATACCCTGCGTTCATATGCTATTTGTTCTCAAAGAAGAAAAAGTGAAGACTATTCCTGAAAAACTGGTACTCAGACATTGCTCGAAGAACCCAAAGTCCCTACACACTCTGCCAGAACCAAGTACATTGGGGGATGACAGCAGTTTCAGCATTAGGTACGGGTCGCTACAGTTCATGGCTCAACGATTCTGCTTATTAGGAGCAAACACTCCTCTCTCTTATCGAATGGCTCAAGATGAGTTGACAGCAGCGTGTAACAAGTTGGAGATGGTAAAGAAAACCCCCGTCGAGAGAGAAAGGATTGTCATACCAGACCAGTTCAAAGATGTATTGAACCCAAATCAAGTGAGGTTTAAGGGTTGTAGGAAAGAAAAAGGGAAAAAACAACTTAAGAAAAAAAGAAGAAAGTATGGGAACTGCGGGCTAAGGGATGGGCATTATAGGAGCACTTATACTAACCCCCCAGCCGACGTGGTAGAATCTCAATCTGATGAGGAGGATGACGACGATGACATGGATGATGATGGGGATGATGATGGGGACGACGGAGAAGATGGAGACGACGATGATGGAGATGATGACCAAGGTGGTCAGCCCCCAAAGGTAATTAGCATCTCTGGTTAGGTGTTCTTGATATAGTTATTAGAGTTAATAACCTACAGTTGTTATTTTGTTTTTACCAGAAGCAACGAACGAGCAGACATAATACTACTGGAGAGCTCATAGGAAAACGTCAGCCACAACAGAAGGTTATATATCATTTGTTTATTCACTAAATTATCGATTTGTTAGAAATGGCTATTAGCTTAAGAGTTTATTTGCCCTCTAACAGATCGGGGCACGTACTAGGAGCAATACTAGTCAACAAGAGAAGGGAGCAGAGAAGGGAGCTAAGAAGCATACAGGACATAGTGCTGGGAGTACTAGTCGGCATGATGATCGTCCAAGCGAGGAACATGAACTGGCACTTTTCCAATCACACTAATGATTTAACCAGCAAGATTAGATGATTCTTTGTGTTGGAAGTTGCATGTTTAATATTATTTTTTCTTATTTTGGTCTGCTACAGAAACAACATCAGACTAGAACTCGTGGTGCAAAGAACAAAAGCATCAATAAAAACAAATGAAGTTCACTAGCACTTCCATAGCAAGAAGTTGAAACGCCCATGGAAAGCAATGACCACTTTTTATTGAGTTTACAATTTTATTATTGATTTTAGGCGGCAAAATCTTTTATCTTGGTATATTTCACAAAAGTAAACTCCATCGACACTTCATATTTTTGTTGGACGAAGGGTACATTGCGGGACATGAACTGTTTGCAATTGAAAGGACATACCTGGCTTTTCTTCTTTGTTCTGTTGTTTTTGTGTGTGTGTGTGTGTGTGTGTGTGTGTGTGAAGCAGACCTGGCTAGCTAATGCCTCACGGGTTGCTTTTCTTCTTTGAACTGTCAGCATAAGAACAGGTAGATCTTTGAATCAGATGTTGAAGCCAAATATATGGAAACCCATTCATGTGTCTAACCAGTATAGCCGCCTAAAATTGTAACAGTGACATTGGAAATGCGTAATTTACCTCCAGTCTGAAGTGCTTTATCACGCCATAGAGGGTTCTCCTCAAGAAACTTCTCAAATGCAAGTATCTTCTGTGGTATTCCCTTAATCATATCGAGACGATCAACCCCTAGCATCACCTATTAAAGAGTAGGACGTTTACATTCAAGAATGAAGAAACTAAGCCAGTGACTTTTAATCAGTAGGTTGCTTTCTCTTAAGCAAGTAAAACAGCATATGTAGGTTAAATTCAGGTTAAACCTTACGGCCACAAAACCTTTCCATCAGTTCTTTTATGTGCTCCTGCATCTTAGGGAGCTTAAGCGCTGATATAACCCTTTCTGAATCTATCCCTATTGGAAACTGAACATACAGGAGAGTGCTACAATACTTGGTCTAGTAAGGGCTTACCCTACTAAATCTGCCGCGAGAACTGAACGAAGTAGCTCTGATCTATTTAGATGACTTTTATGTTCTATTTAGATTATTTTTATGTTCTGTTTAGAACCCATCTATCAACAAAGGCCAGATCTATCTACAAACACTCGAGGCTTAGATACCTGTTTTCGATGCCCAGTACCCTGCTTGTGCTGCTCCCATTCATGGCCTCCTCGAAGTTCCTTCAAGTTCCTCCTCCTCCCCCGATTCGCAAGCCTCAAATCAACATGAAAACAAAACAAAATAAAAGAAACGAGTTCAGAAACCCAAAGTTTGGACTCGGTAATTGGGGAGTGTCCAGTCATGTCCTGATTTTTATAGGAACTCAAAGAAACGAAATGAAAACTTGCATAGCAACTACCTGCAATCGTTCCTTAGGGGGCCTTTTTAATCCGAGGGAATGAGACCATAGCTGCCGCTCTTACCAATCCAGATTTGTTTTGTATGCATCTCGTGCCAAACAAAGAGGAAATCAATTTCTACCAAAAAAAAAAAAAAGAAGAGGAAATCAAAGAACTGAAAACGAAAACCAAAAATTCGGGGAAGGAAAAGGAGAAGGAAACGCGAGATTTCACTAACTATTTATCTTACAGTTGGAGCATCTTCGCCTAACACAACTGATAGGAACATCCCCAAATCCACCAGGTTTCATCAACCGAGCAACTCATCGGCAGCTACGCGGAACCGCCGTCGCCAGTCGATGGAATGATTGGAATCGTCAACTCTCTCTCTCTCTCTTCTCGTCGGCAGAAACGCGGAACAGCCATCGCCTCTCTCTCTCTCTCTCTCTCTCTCAGATTGACGACATGCAAGATAGAATGAGAATGGGGGGTCAGAATGAAGGAAGCGTTTCTGGGGGACGAATTCAAAAGACACACAAATTTTTGGCAGAGAAAAAAGCGCTATTCTGAGAAGGTAAAAGCCAAATTTTAACAATTTTGATTTTTCTTTTTACGTTGCATTTTGCCGCTACCATGTACACTTTTTCTTACTCATTTTTGTAATGAAAAATTAGAGAATGGATGGTTATTACTTTTATCATAGTTTCAATATTAAAATATGAAATTAATTTCGTATATAACTGATAGACCCAATATTCAACCAACATCACACAACCGTCACAAACCATTTTTAGGTGATCACAAGGAGAATAATGATAAAATCATATATATGTGTAAGTTAATGGTGTTGGTATCTACTATTGGTTAAAACATTGGGTTTGGGTGCTCTCCCCTCCAAAATAACCCCATCAAACCAAATTACATCCATGGAATGGTTTCTTAAAGCTAAACCCATGTGGATGGCGATTTCTATTTGCTTACCTCCAACCAAATGATGTATTAACACATCATCACCTGCCATTTTCCATGTGTACGAATTATTAAGAGCAATTAGTTGATGGATGGTAATGGAACCCTTACCTGTACTATTCCTCACTCAAACCACCAATCATCAAACTTATCCAACCCTTTTAACTTGGATAAGAGGTGGAGAAAGATGGATGTGTCAGTAGTCAGCACACACTCCATCTCACCTCAGTCCAATCTTAAGAAGCCCAAAGACCAACAAAAATATAGGCTTGGTCCGCCTCATGGAACGATCTGTGTTTATGTAGTTGAGTATAGTAAAAAGACTGAGAGATCTTTCCGTATTATGCGCCGAGCATGGAAAAAATAGAATGGGAGGGGTTTTGGAAGAGAACCTCTTTATATGTTTGTTAGGATATAAAGGGATGTGCTAGAGTTTTAATTTGAGAAGGAAACTTATTAATTTGTTAAGTAAATAAGAGATAAAATTTGGTGCAACTAAAATCACGGCATATCTTTTCTCCTTCCCAATGTTGTTACACGGTTTAGTTGAAATTTGGGTTCATCTCTTTTTAATTCTTTAATATATTATTTTATTAATTATATATTATAATGATTATTTTTTGCAACACAATTTGGTAAAATGTTGGGTAAACTGTACTCATCTTGATCTTTGTGGGTTCATACGCAACCCTTGTGATTTATGTTGGGTTCACCCTTGATCTTTGTGTATATGAGGCCATGTGAGTGGGAGGATTCATGTACCATTCAGTTGCTCAATTTCTGATTTCCTTTGATCAATGTAATTGGTTCTCGAGTTTTTTTTTTTTACAGTAATTGGTTCTCGAGTTGAAGTGGAATAAAGGATGAATTTTACTGTAAAAAAAAAAAGTTGCTCAATAAAGTAGCGAGGGAACCAAGGTACTTTATCGGGTATGTCAATCCTTCGCTGAGAAGATTAGTAGAACAGAGTCTTGTCTTTTCCACTTCTGTGCGGACGCCAAGGGGTCGTGATTGGCTGTTTTTTTCTGCAGCTCGAGGTGACCAATTTCTTTGTTAAAGAGTTAAATCTTTCATTTTTGCTACCGCTATATATTAATGCTCTTAGGAGTTTTACCCATTTCCTTTCTCTTTTTGGTTCAAATTGATGTAGAGCATATTCTCATATCCGCCAAAATTCTCAAAATCCCCCTGCTTCCATCCGTGTCTTCACCTGCAATTCTGCAAATGTCGACGTCGAACCCATCTTCTTCGTGGATCGCCCAATTCAAACTGGGCGACCGGGTCGAGGTCAGCTCCGACGACCCCGGGTTCCGCGGCTCCAGGTTCGCCGGCACCGTCATCCGCCGCGAGGCGAAGAACCCTAATCGCTACGTAGTCGAGTACGACCAGCTCTACGAGGACGAATCTGGGGAGAAGCTGCTGCAAGAAACCCTCGATTGGATCCAATTGCGTCCGCCGCCGCCGCCTCCCGAGAAGAAGAAGGTCCAGTTCAAGTTCGGCGACGAAGTGGAGGCCTTCCACAACGACGGCTGGTGGGAAGGGGCTATTACTGCGGAGCACTCCGGCGGGAAATTCGCGGTGTTCCTCAGAGGCTCAAAGGAGCAGATTGTGTTTGAAGAGAAAGATTTGAGGTTGCCTGTTCAGTGGGTTAAAGGGAAGTGAGAGCCGCGATTCGAACAGGTTCAGCGGGAGAAAGAGGTGAGCTAATTCGATTTTATGAATTTTCCTGCTCCGTTGCTTGGTATGACAATTTTAGGGAATTCTGAATCTGGATCTAGGTGATGAAGTTCACTCAAGGAATGCAAGTCGAGGTGACAACTGACGAGGACGGTCTCAAAGGTGCTTGGTTTGCTGCAACAATTATTGAACCTTCTGGTGAAGACGAGTATCTTATTGAGTACAAAACCCTGACGAATGATGATGATACTGAGTTTCTCAGAGAAGACATTCGTGCTTGCAACATAAGGCCTTGTCCGCCGGAGATCATTGTTGTGGATGGATTCAAGGTGATGGATGAAGTAGATGCTTACTACAACGAGGGCTGGTGGGTTGGCGTGATTGCAAAGGTTTTGATCAACTGCAATTACGTGGTTTACTTTAAAGAGTATGATGAGAAGATAACGTTCAAGCAGGCTGGTTTGAGGACACATCAGGACTGGTTAAACGGCAAATGGGTTGTTCCTTCAGAGGTCTGAATTTTATGCTCTCAATTCTCAAAACACTACTAGCTTTTCTAGTAAATGATATTAGTTGTACGGGCCTGCACTCAATGCATCTCTTTCTATTGTGTTTCTTTTCTATGGGATTATGTTGGAATGAATCTTATCTTTTGATGTTGAATGCTCCTATTGCTTGTTCAAACTGATTTGTGTACGGACTCTCATCTCATGTGAGAGATCACCATTGTTTCTCATTCGAAGGAACTCTGCTCACCCAAATCTCAATCTTTAATCCATTTCAACCCACAAATGCTTCCAAGGCTGTGCATGATCCGATTCGATTCACAATCAAAGAACCGAACTGAATCAAACTAAAAATCAAATCTAAAATAATGGACACAGGAGAACCATTCTGATTTTCTTTCGGCATGCTACTTTCTCTTCTTATACTAGATTAAGGTTCGGCCCGTTGGCCGGATGGAAATGAATATTTAACAATTTTACTTGTTGTATACAGTTTAATATTGAAAAAGTTAAAATATTATTTCATCTTAGAGATATACTAAAAAAATAAAGAATATGAATATTTTAATTTATCAATATACTTCTTGCTAGTAATTTTGCTTATGTATCTTAACTTTCTATTTCGAATATAATGAATACTATCGTGATGATTTGTTCAATTGAAATGAACATTCACGTCAGTTTCATAAAAATATTAGTGAAAATTCACTAAAAACAAAGAATATTTAATGTCTTTATTCAAATTAATACAAAAGCCTATTAGTATTTTTTTTTGGTACACATTGTTTCTTGGTTAATTTGATATCTTATTATATTTTCGACGTGGGTAACCAAGTAATGATAAAATAATCTAACTTTTTAGTCTTATCCGATCACATGCATTTTCAAACTCAGTGTGCACAATGAATCTTATTTTGGATGTAATTCGTTTACAAAACAGTTTTTCGCAAACCCTCTAACCGGAGCTTCTGCTTTTATGTTATACAAAACATGTTTGGCTTTAACCGAACTTTTAGAGGTATTTGACCCTGCTTCACCTTTTGAATCCGAAAAGTACTTCTAAAAACCGGACCAAACATAGGATATATGGGCTGAGTGGCTTTTACTCATTTAGCTATCCGATCCATATTACTCGATTTGAATAATACGATATTCCGGTTAATTACTTGAATATTAGTTAATTACTGTTTGACAATTTTTTCCAAACCTCTGTGATGGATGAACCTTGAAATTGGAGTGGCACAAAAAGTGTTAAGTACTAATTAACTAATACCAGTCGAAGAGCAGTAATAATTATTTATGCTCAAGTTTTATCCTCCTTCCAGTATTATAGTTCCTTCCAGTAATATAGTTCCGAATTCTGATGCGTTTTTATTGTTTGGGAGGATTTAATCAGAACAACCCAGTACATAAAAGGCAACAACTGTTCTCACTGAGTAATTTTTTTTTTAGAAACCACTGATATGATTCATTATAATCAAGAATCAACTGCCTCAAAGGCTACAACGTCAGCTACCCTTTGTGGTAGAACATTACAATGAAAATTACAACTGACTCTACCACATCGGGCCAATTTCTTTCTCCTTCACTAGTCTGACCCCATAGAGAATAGCGATTCCTCCTTTTGGCCTCACTTGACATAATTCTTCAGGGGTTTAACTCCTGCATAGACACACCAAAAATAGCGTCATTCACAATACAGGAAACAAAGTCAGATGGAAGCTTGGGACCACAACAAAGCATACAAATCCTACTTTGGGTACTCATCTGGATAATGTTCTCGCATGTAAGATTCCATCCTTCCCTTCACACTCCCCATGGCAACGACGTGCACATATAAAGAAAGAAAATCGACAAATCAAACAAATGATATTCATAAAGCAACATATAAAAAATGAAAATTTGTTAAAGTATATGGTCCAGGTTGAAATACTTCCGCAGACCACATATTACTATCATACACCTTCTTGAAGGGTTCAGGAATAAAGGATACCGTAGTTCCAATGGTACATATTCAAGCTAAATAGTAATGGGGCATTCCTATGAATGAAGCACTCCTACATAGCTGCAATACATTCCAGAATTACTATATCATCTACTCTAGTACCCCTCAAGAAAGCGTATGACAACAATCACATTATCTACGCAAGCCTCAACCAAATATTTCGCATATACATGTGTTCTCAAATGAACATTTGAAACTGGAAGGAAATAAAATGATACCATCAAAATTGTGATAGAACTAGAGGTACATAAACTATCTCCCGAATCCAGCAGTGGCCTTCACAACTCTGCAAGCAATGAATTTTCTTAGTTGAGGGATTCGGACCAAAAAAGAAACAACAGACGAAACAACAATAGAACGAAACCAACCTCAAATCTTTCAAATCTCCTACAGCCTTTGCGAGTTTCTTCCAAAATGTAGGAGTCAAGTGGGCGGAAAAGAACCACCAGATGGAATATGGTTCCACAATATTTATTATGAACACTCCAACTACATCTGATGTTCTTCTCCACCCTTTGTAGACACATCTACATGTTGGGACTGGCCGCCGAACTGCCGCCAACACAACCTCATAAAAAATAAAAGAAGATCAATAAAATGGATTGGATTAGGTAACTAGTCTCCAAACTCAGTTATTAGCTAACACACGAGGGAAAAACTGAGATTTGGAATCAAATTAATACAAACCGTGTCAACAAGCTACGAAGCCAGATATACTTACAAGTTTACAGAACGAACGTTATGAAAAACCGAACTCCATCTGATGATCTTCTGTGATGTCCTTACAAGTTTACATGTTTTCATTCTCACAGTACCATGCCTCTAGCCCAACACACCCCGGAAACCAAAAAAACAAAAACAAACGAGGGGATTAGGCTACTGGAGTCAGGCCTTCATTAGCTACCAAGAATAAGATCAAAAATCTATTTGAGTAAAATACGAACCTTCCTCCTTGCAGTTGTCTCCCCGACATCAATCTCCAAATCGTCACCCATTTCGCGCCAGAGAAGAAGACCCCTCACAACGAAGCGAGAGCCTGGAGGCAAGTAGAGGAAGGAATGAAGAGGTAGGTGGGTAGGATTTTTTTGCCCTTTGGGTTCAAGGCGAAAGAACAGAAGTGATTGAGAACAATGGGAGGGGGAATGTGTAATGGGCGACGGCAAGGGTTTCATCTTGGTTATGGTGGAAAGGAGGGAGCAGCTGGATTGGGGAGAACGGAAGGGGAAAATGGAATTTAGGGTTTGGATTTCCAAAACCAATGCGCGTGCCGCGTGGGAGAGAAGGGCTGTGAATGGGCCGCGCTTGAGAACACATGGCCAACATGCATTGTTTCCTTTTTTTTCCTACTAACATAACTCGTTTTTAAACAAAAAACAGTGAGGGAAAATGGGCCAATGGGGGATGGTTAGTTGGTCCCTATGTAAACAATGGGAGTTTCTTTAATCAATTTAATTTCCTATAGTTTAACACGTTGTAAACAATGAGAATACCAAGATCTGTTGAAAACGTTGTATGTCGTAAATCAATCTTGTATTACTAACCACGTTGTTTTCCTCCTGCTTTTATGGTAGGTTGATTTTTATTATTCTTTTTTCTTTTATTGCTTTCGTTCCCCACATATCATTTGCTAGATGTTCTAATACACGAAATGCACCTTTCAGACTATGTTTCTAAGTTCTATTTATTTGAACTTGGTTAAGTGTTAATTTGTGTTCTTTTCATTTATGAAATACCATTTGTTGCCTTTGTGAATTATCCATTTCTGTTTTTTGATTTGTGTTAAATTGGTTTGCCAATTGGCAGTCTCACTACATTATCTCATATAATGAATGGAAGAGATTTGGGACTAGAATGCATTAATAGTAGCACTGTTATGTAATTATTACGTTGTAATAATTCAATGGAATTAAATAAATACTTTTGTAATAATAATAGAGGGGAAAATGAAAAAGGACTAATTTGTTCAAAGTACCATAACTAAATTAAATTCATATTTTACATCAAGTACCACCTCAAAAGGATAATAAACTTACAAAAGATAGTAGCGTTTACATATCCATTACGCTTACAGATCATTAGAGATTACAGAGAGATTACAGAGAGGTGGACCATTACTAACATTAATCCGATCATATTAATAATACCCAATGCTACTTAGTTATCTAAAGGCGGGAACAACTTTACCAAGAAGAGATCAAAATAATTCTCCACGTTGTTCCAAGGACCGAATGTGACCAAGACCTCATATGCCTTCTCACCAATCAAGTTGAGAAGTGTAACATAGTCCGCATTTTGAAGCTCAGAAGGACTGACAACAGAAGACATGATTCTCCGTAAGTAAGCTGATGGGAACACGACCTCAACATCAGTAATGTCATCTTCAATGGTCAAGTGAATCAAATATCCCCTGGATGCCTCACACCAAGATCTCCTCAACTCTATTACAACACCAGAGAAAATGTACGACTTGCCCTGATATAATCCAAAACATAAGGAGTTCAAAATAATACCAAATCATATGCAAATCATTGAGATAAGAGATAGAGAAGGATAGATAACAAACATGTTATCTTAGTCACCTGATTACCACCATTCAATTGCATTGGAATAAGATCTATAGTTTCCACGGTCTCCCAAATTGCTACGGCAGTTTGATAGTTTAGATTCGTAACGAAATCGTCTCCCATGGTAAAAAAACCTATAATTTAGATTATTAGCAATAATTGAGAGTTGGTTATTTTAAGTATACGTGCATTATTTCACAAGCCAATATGGTTTTAGTGTGCAATTTGTAGGCCGGCAGAACAGTAAGGTAGTCCATTTGATGGGTAGAAAGACCATTTTATTGTACCCGACTACAAGTCATTTCTTTGATTTTCTGGTCTGACTTAATTTCACGATGTAATTACCTATTTTTGAAATCAAATATACGATTATCTTTTGTCAAAAATATCTAATAATATAATAATTAACGAACACATCCCGGCCAACAGGCCGGGCATAAATCTAGTTAATTGAGAAACTAATTAAATGCGAGTCAATTCCATTTCTGTATTTTATTAATTACTCAATTTCCAAGTGGCTGTTTTTTATTAGTTGAGAGTACCATGTCAGTAAAATGACGTGGTGATCTCGGAGCATGGAAGAATTTCTATTGCATCCACTCTATCTAAAAATACCAATGCTATAGTGCCACATCTACAAGAACCACTCGTGTCATATGCCAAATTCGGGACCTGCTACCTGCCACTCAGGTGGTCTTCTGCACCAAATACAATATACAATCATATACCCTATAAAACATATTAATGGAATTCCAACATTTTATCCCTGATTTTAAACGTACCCTAAAGACAAACCAAGTTATGTAGCCAGCCTTAATTGACAAATGTGTGGCATTTTCTAAATCAATATAGTGTAACAAGCATTAAGAACACAACTACATTAAGAACACAAATACCAATTGCTTCTACACAACATTTAGGATGACAATTACGTTTTCAGAAACCTTTTGCTTCTCATACCAATGTCGATTAATTTCCTACCATATAATAACGTGATGCAACATAAGAATAACCAATATTAGGTTCAGTACGACAATCACTATCAATAAAGCTCGAATTACATGGATTTCATGATTAACTCTCATTCCTTCAGCTAGCATAATTTCATGTGCCTTCATCCATCTTGATAGCTCTCCAGCCAAAAGTTTCTTCTCCTTCTTCCTCCTTTCCGCCTTACACTCAGCTAGCCTCAAACTTTCTTCCATATTCAAAGTCGAGCACCCAATTTCAGAGTCATGGTGCTTATCTTCATCGACATTCATTCGCACCCACCTAAAAAAACGACAGTTCTTCTTCTCGTCCTGCACCATACGAGCATTTAACTTAGAACCCACATCAATGACAATTTCAAAACCCATATCTAAACACCTTACCATCCAAAATGGACACCCATAGAACTGTCTTCCTGGGTTCGCTTTGGTTCCAGATGTATTCACCACACATGGCTTCTTGTGCCAACAGAGTACCGCCCCTCGGCTATTGATGCTAGTCAAAGTTGAGGAAGATGCTCGCTTGGACATGGCTGACCTTCGTGTGAAGTTCTGGCCAGGAGAAATCGCGATTTCGGGGTCGCGAATCGGCCGAGAAGAAGTGGGATTTGGGGAAGAAGCAAGAAGCGCCGAGTCGTTCAGAAACTAGAAGAAGATTTGGGGAAGAGGAGTAAGCATCGATCAGCTTCGTGTATCTCCTTCGTGGGGAAGAGGAAATTTGGGAAGAACCCTAATTTCGTTTTCTAGAAAGAGATGGAGAAGAAGGAAGCCCTAATTTCGTTTTCTGGAAATAGATGGGGATTTTTGGTAGCCTCGTGCGATCAGGTAGATGGGGAAAGTTTTAAATTTTTTTAATAATAAATAATTTATTAAGATGACGTGTCAATTTTTGCTTTGTTGTCGCTGACGTGGTTGATGATTTGGCGCCTCGTCAGCGAACCGTCAAATAAGTTGACGGAGTTATTAACGCCGTCATAATTTCTAACGAAAATGGCTATATCTGCCACGCAACATTAGGGGTGAACAAACATACCCGCAAACCGACCCAACCCACCCGTATTTATCGCTAAAACAAAGATTTTGGGTTGGGTGAGGGTTTTGTTTTGTACAACCCGCCTCTTTTGGGTTGGGTTTGGATTTTGGATTACACAACCCGTAGAACCCGACCCAACTCGGGTTTAGGGTTTAGTGGTTTAGGGTTTAGGGTTTAGGGTTTAGGGTTTAGGGTTTAGGGTTTGGGTTTGATATTTTCCAAACCGTAGTGCATGGGTTGGGTGATAAAATGGCTAAACCCGGACCACCCAACCCATGTACACCCCTACGCAACATCTTTCAAAAGTGGCTATTAGTGGTATTTCGCCAAATGTGGATATAAGTGGCACAAAGGTGGAAGTTTTGGCTATGCAAGTGTATTTTGCCTATAATTTGTAATGACCGTTAGATTAGATCTACGGTAGAGAATCATACAAGTATTCATTCCATAGCCTAACTCCTTCGATTTAAAACTAGATCGTCTAACTGAAGCATGCCCTCACTATCAAATTATATCGATTAAGATTTGCTATTGCTAATCTCAATAATCCAAATTGTACCAAATAAGATTTGCTATTGCTAATCTTATTCAGTTATGATAACCAATACATTTCCCAAACACTACAAATAGGTTTTAGTTAGAAGGCCATTAAAGATTTGCTATTGCAAACCTTAAATTGAAACTAATTAACATTTTATTAAAAATGTTTTAACCAGGACAAAAACTTGTGTCTACAAGTAGTATGGAAGGTTTATTGTCCAAATGCATGGTATGCACATGTAGATAACTTTTTCATATAATATAGTCACGGTAAAGCCATTGACTTCTATACAAAAATTGTCGTCGTCTTCATTTATTTTGCTTTACTTCCTTAATTATTTTTGTTATTATGTTTAATTATTACAACATATGTATACAAAACGTGTACACTTAAACTATCAAAATACTTGTACAGCATTGATGGTTAAGATTTGCTATTATCATCGCAAGGTTGCCTGTTCGATTCTCCATATTGTCTTATTTCTTTTACCCACATCCATGTAATCATGTTTCAGCTACGCTTGTGCAACGACGTCGTCCTGGGGACACTCTCGCTTTAGCAGCAAGCACAAACGACGACGTTTGTCATGTCTCATCGTCTTCCCTGGGCAGTAATTGGAGATAACCATGGTTTTGATGGTTGTTGGGTTTTGATGGCTGTTTGTGAGATAAATGGTTAGCTATGGGGTAGCTTGGGTGAACAGATAATGGCATTTTGGATAGTCGAATTGGGGTGTGGTATGTTGATGATACAGTAATTTGAACCAAATTAACCTGAATTTTTTTCGTTACTTTTCATTAGGCAACTGATCCCGTTTATAAGTAATTGAGAAATGTTTCGATAAGTCTAGAAAGATACAACCAACAATTCATTAAAAAGGGCAGAACCCGTACAAAAAAGCATTGTGTTCACACACTTAGTACACTTTCATAACAAGAGAAATAATATTAAGGCGAACACTAAGCAACTTTAGTAGATTCTATTTACATTGCTGATATGGCATTCAGTTTCCGGGAGGAAAAAATAATTTTACCAATAACAGCTCAAAATAACTCGACACATTGTTCCAAGGACCCAATGCGATCATAAACTCATAAGAGTTTCCACCAAGCAAGTTGATAAGGGTAACGAAATCGGCATTGGCCCTATCTTTATCACTTACTACATCTGAAACGATTTTGCGCAAGTTTGTCGATGGGAAAACAACCTCAAGATCCAAATAATCATCCTCGATAGTTAGGTGGATCAAATGAACTCTACATTCAGCACACCAGGATGTCTTCACCTAGCCGACACGACTGGAGATGAGGTAAGAAGTGCCCTGGTATTAAAACAAGAAAAGGAACGAGAAGAGAACAGAGAAGTAGACCGATAAACTGATCTCGAGAAAGAGTTGCCGTAATGACGATGATGGTGGTACGATGATGGTGGTTTAGGATTGTCGAATTGGGGCAACCTTTTAATGGAACTTTATTTTATGAATTGTATAATTTTTGGGTGTTCATTAAAAGATCGAGAAGAAATAAGGTATCATCTGAGTTCTCACAAAAACGAATAGGTATCATGTGAGAAAATAAAACGCAAATTATTATTGGGGGGCTACATAGCACATATAATTATTTAAGGGGTGCAAGTAGTAATTATTATTACTAATTTTTGGGCGCACTCAGTGCACCCACTCTAAAAGTGTCCATATTACATCAAATTTTGAACTTTAATTAGTACTCTCAATCTAATATGATGATATGACATAGAATCATAACAAATCAATCAATTACCCTAACCCCTTAACCTTCAATTTTGAATCCCAATCCAAAATCCCAAATTGTAAACCTAAACCCTAACCCTAAATCCCTAAATCCTAAATCCTTCAAATTAAAGTAAATTTTGAATGAATTTTTTTCAAATTCATGTGCTTCTTGTTCATAATATCATAAGCAACAATTGATACCGTTTTGACATGAATCGCATGGTTAGAATGCCAATTATGAGGCGGGTGCACTGAGTGCACCCAAAAAAGTGGGTGCACCGAATACGCCACTATATATATATATATATATATATATATATATATATATATATATATATATATATATATATATGAAAGTCGAAAGAGGATGTGAACTGGAATAGTTGATATATGAGCATCTTTTTGCCCTTTTGAAGCGAGAAAGCCCAAACAGACACATACCAGGTACCACACATACATATGGATGTCATGTTATGTGTGAATACTAGAATTAATTGAAAGCATCCATCTTTATTTCTGGATTTATGATCTATATTGCTAATTATTCCATCTTAAGAAGTACATGTCTTTCTTCAAAGTTCTAATTATAAACAAGCATTTTAGTATTTTGTAATTAAGAAGGGCTGCATGCGTGGAACAAATAATGTGCTAAAATGCACACATCTAATAATTTATACCTTTGACCACACAATCTGATTGTACTATTCCATGCAGATATTATCCCCAAAATAGGCATAATCCCACAAATGATATTTGCAGCTAAAATGATCATACCTTCTTAATTTCATCACACATCTTTCTTTACTGAGTTATATACAAAGTTGGCAAATCAGATCTCTTATTTTACTTGCTGACAATATGGTATTAACTATTAACTTATTTTTATGAACAATGTTATACATTAAACATTAAAACTCTCAAAAAGAATTTTTTTTTTGAACAACCCTAGATATTGAGCAAACCAATGTGTATGCTACTCACAATTATCCGAAAAAGGAGAAATCCAAAAGTAAAAAATGGGAAAAAATAAAATAAAAATAAATAATTACAAAGACATTTATGTCATCTCTAAAGACTGTGTACTCTATAGAAGCACCCTCACTCAACTGAAAGTCTCTCCTCAATAAAAAAAAAAAACTCTCATAATCCACAAATAATATTTAATAAATTAATAATACTCTCATAAAATACTCTCTTATTCCCTTCTCTTCTCATTACTAGTGTTCTTACTTAATTGATTAATTTCCTTCCTTTTTTTCCCTCTCCAATTGATGGCAGTTGTATTATTATTTATTATTTAAATAAAAAAAAGTATTTTCAACCGCCTCACCTTGTAGTCACACAATGTTGTCTCCACATGTGCATCTCTCCGCCATGATAATAATGCCCGCCAGCACCATGGTGGCTTAACAAATTGTAACATCGCCGGAATCCCTCTCCGTTCATCGGAGGAGAATAACCCCACTCTTCTCCCAAATTATGGCCATCATTGTTACTCCTGCACAATTCCTTGTCCGTACCCGTTTCCTTCTCTTCCGACGATGATTCATCCTCCTCTACCTCTACTTCTTCTTCTTCTTCTTCTTTCGCTGGAGCCGCACAAAATGACACCGTTTCCTCATTAATTGCAACCAAATCTTCCGGATTACCCTCACATACGTCATTTCCAGCGGTGCAATCTTCGCCATCGATTTTATCATCCCGAACGAGGAGCAATCTCAACCTTCCGTCTTCTCTCGACGCTCGGAGAACCTCGGGCCGATCGATTCTCACCTCCGTCAACTCTAACCGCCCATCCTTCCTCACCGGCCGGAGAAAGAAGTTCGGCTGCCCATTCTTGTTCAGCGACGAGATCGGCGGAGGAAACTTCTTCGCCTTCATCGCATCCCTCTTGCTCCTCCTCTCCTTAATCCTATCCCTCCATCTCATGCTCACATCTCTGATTTCCCCATCGCTTCGCGCTGTTGTCGAACAAGCATTAGAATCATTATTATTGTTTTTTCCCTGATTTCTGCCATCATCGTCGTAGCTCTCGAACCCGAGGCTCTCGGTGCACGAGTTCAATCCGTCGACGAATTTGCACCCTCCGCCGCCACCGAGCTCTTCCATGAACACACGTTTGCTGATCTTTGGCCTTGGCTGCGATGGAGGCGGGGGAGACTTGACGATGGATGCGGATTCGACTACATTTGGAGGGCGATGGATGTGGATTTCGTTGGGGGAGGTGATTAGCCCTAGGCCTTTGTTGCAGGGCGATGACGGCGGCAGCGGCGGGGTAATGAGGCATGAATTTGAGATTGAGAGGCCTCCGAGGAAGGAGTGGACACTCTTCTTGCAGAAAGTCATCATCATGGTTATTATTAAGATGAAGAAATTGAATAGTTGAGAGTGATGAAAATTTTATGTGACTCTTTGGAAGGGAGAAGAAGAAGAAGGAAATATGAGAAGGAAGGAAGAGGGTGTTCTGGGAAATTGGGAGATAGTTTTTTGAGAGAGTGGTGGATGAATGAAGATGATATCTTTTAGCTAATAATATAATAATAATGATAATAAAGATGTTAAATTTGATGAAATTTTTTATTGTGACACCTACGGTGGAGGAAGAGAAGAGGAGAAAAGAGAATGATAAAGAGAGAGCCAACAGGAGAGAGAAGAAACACAAAGTGGGAAGAGCTGCATTAATAATACTAACTAATATGAATATAATACAAGAAAAAGACTAGTACTTTTCTTTGTTTTGATGGAGAAAATGGTTTTATCGTTCTTGTGATTTTGTTTGTCAATTTGAGAGCTTGAAGAGTAGGAGATGAGGGGTCTTCTATAATCGTATGAAAAAGAGATGATGATTATGAGGACCCCACAAGTGGGAAAGAAGGAATGAAATTAGCAATTTTAAGTCTTGGTTGAAATTTGTTGTGGTTAAATAAACGTGAGGAGATCTAGAGAGAGAAAGGTGAAAGAATTTTACCTTCATTAACTTTGTTCAAACTCGGTTAAAAACGGAACAGTCAAAAGCGGCTTCGGCTTGCTATAATTGAGTTGTCAAATCACAATCCATAAAATGAGGTTTGTTATATTAGTTGAGTTGGATTGTGATCATGCTCATAAAGGAATGATATTTATCTTCAATCTCCTTGTTTATACAGCTTATCCACGCGTTTTTTGTTTCAATTGTTCAATTTTGATCTTTTATGGTTCCTCTTTTAGATGGTAAAACTATGTGGAGTATTAGATTCGACAATTTAGTTGAGCTGAGAAATTTGAGGTTGTTGTAAAAAAAAAGGGACAACTGAAAACAGTAAAGAAAGTATATGACTAATGGATGGACCTAAATACTAACCAATCAAGATGGAGTTAGATTTTATAATAATATTTATCATTTATTTTCTATATTACTATTTTTTTACATTGATTTGTAGTGAATTATATTGTGGGACAACAGTAATTCAAGCCTACTTTCTAGATAGATATTTCGTGTCTCATTTGAGACCATTTTTTTCTAATTGAATGTAATTTTTGTGCCATTATTCACACATAAAATCTATATTTTCACATAATTATACCAAAATTTCACCCAAAAGTACTTAAGAATGGAGATAAGAACACAACAAGATGCTTTGGGCACCATTCTACTGTCGTTCTACCCTTGAGTTTTTGGATCGTTTCCGGGTTGGAAAATTTCTCTCTCGGGCATAGCAACCTCCATATATGACTTGATGCTCGAATCCGGCCAAAAGACTCTAATTATAGGCTATTCTATTAGGTTTCTGAGAAATAAAAGTAGAAGCGAAACTCATCAGGCCGAATCCCTTTAGGTTTATCTCAAGTTTAGCCTCCAAGTAAATCTTATTCGCACTGGTAAAGATAGCATACTTGTTTGAGGCAATGGTAAGAGGCATTCCATGCAGCTAAAATACCCCATCAAGGAGTACTTGAGCAACAGTAGTGGCTGTATAAGCCGTACTGAGTCCAAGCAAATGAACATACTTGGAAAATATGTCAACAACCACAAAGATCACTTCCTTACCAGCAGACTTGAGTTCCATCAATAAAATCCATACAAATATGCTGTCAAGGTCTCTTAGGAATCGACAGAGGATGTAATAGCCTCAGATAAGCCACATTCTCAGTTTACACCTCAAACATATCAAAGCTCCTACAAATGACTTAAATTGGTCCTTCACTCATAGCCACCAAAATACTTTTTGAGCCTCTGATAAGCTGCTTGAATTCCAGAACGACCTCCCAATGGAGATGCATGAAACAATTCCAACTAGTCCCTCATCGATCCCCCTAGAACCCACATACAAGGAAAATTTATGGTAGAGAAGTCCTTACTTAACTGAGTACACTCTAAGACCAACAAAATGAATAACAACTTTCTACCATAAGCTCATGTATAAGTGGGTCACCCTCATATATCTAATCCACATCAACTAACCAAGTTGAAAGGACAAGGACTGCTATGACTGCCCAGCAATCCCTAGTAGCAGAAAAAACTGGGATGCCTAGAAAAAGCATCTACCACTTTGTTATACTTGTCTTGTCTGTATCTGGTCTCAAAATCAAGTTCCAACAACTTCACTAGTAATTTCTTCTAAATATGTGTATGCACATTCTGTCATAACAACTGCTACAATATTTCATGGTCAGTGAGTATTACAAAGGTTCTACCTTCCAAATAATGTCTCCATGTGGTGACAATCAACAATACTGTCAAATATTCCTTCTCATAAGCTTAAAGACCTTGTTTCCTGGAACATAAAGCCTGGCTGTGATAAGGAAGTCTATCCTCGTAAGATAGCACTGTTTTATTCATATATCATTGGCATCTGTTTCTAATGTAAATGGCTTAGAGATATCAGGAAAATCTAGAACAGGAGCCCGCACCATAGCAGACTTCAGTAGCTCAAAGGCCCTCTGTGCATTCGAATTCCACTTACAACTCTTTCTTGAGTAACTCAATAGGAGGTTTAGCCACTAAACCATAATTCTTCACAAATTTTCTGTAATAGTTAGTTAACCCCTCAATTCATTAACATTCCTGGGTACATGCCACCCCACCATAGTCTCTATCTTACTACAGTTAGTAGACCCCCTTCCTCACTGATAATATGACCCAAATAATCAAATTGTCTCTATCCAAATAAGCATCTTGATGGTTTGGCTATTGTCTGAGAATGGCTAGGGTAATGGACAAATGTTGTTATGAGAGGTTCGGTCAGGATTTTGAACTAGTATGCCATTAAAGAATACAAGTATAAAATTCCTCAGGTGATCAGCAAAAAATTGGTTCATTAAGGCTTTGAATGTGGTACGAGAATTAGTAAATCCAAATGGCATTACTAAGAACCCATAGTACCATAGTGTTCTACAAGCAATATTGTATTGACATGTTGGGTTCATTCTTATTTGATGGTATCTTGACAGTAAGTCCAGCTTGATAAAGTGTTTGGACCCCTTAAGTTCATCCAACATATCTTCAAGTATATGAATGTGAAATTTATCCTTAATGGTTAATGAATTAAGTTATTGGTAATCCAAAAAAAAAACCTCGAGGTCCCACATTTTTAAAGTACTGACAGAACAGGAGAAACAAAAGGACTGTCACTAGGTTGTATATACTAGAAGCTAACATCTCATTGACTTACCTTTCCATTTCACATTTTTTAGGAAGAGAATGTTTATAGGGTTGTTGATTGAAATGGTTTTAGTTTAGTTGTAATGAATTAGAATGGTAAAAAGATTTTGAAGGGGTTAAGAAATTGGCTTTGCCAAACACATTAACATACTCATTGACCACATGCTTAAGAAATTCTGGAATGTTTTTGGTATTGTAGAAGTAGCAGTGATACTGAACAACTAACTTGCCCATATAAGAACCTTCAACCTGAAAAATTTTCTACGAGCCCTTCCCCATCATGGATTTGCAGTTTTCAAACTCCTGCAGTCCCTTTAGATTAATGAAGTCAAACTTCATAGGGCTAAAGGTCGTGAGCAAATCCTACCCCAAAATCATATCATTGAAGCCCAAACAAAGTATCCTAGCATCATACATGAAATGATGCACATGAATCTCCCATTAAAACCCTTCACACCAAGTTACTGAGTAGAATGGTCTCATATGCTAGCTTAACTCTCAAAGGAGTTTTTGGTACAAACTCACACCTAAGATCCAAGGCCTTTAGCTCTTTGAGGAAAGTGTGACTACTTCATGTATCTATGAAGATGAACCATTTTACCTACTTAATTTTACTTTTAACTACCATAGAATTAGCTACTCCTCCACAGCTTAAGGCTTGCATAATGAACTCCACATGCATTGTTTCCAATTTCTATCCTTCCACAATCCATCCAACTGCTTCTTTACCTCACATACGTGAACATATTAATACTTGTCACCACACTTATAGCATTCCTTTTGTGAAGCTTTCATTAGGTACATGGGTGAATTTTGTAGGAGGAGCATATCTAGAATTGAAGCCTTCTACTTCTTATTTGGTATGATTAACACCACCCAAGGCTACTGGAGAAGTTCGAAACACATGAAATCATTTCAATTTCTTACTCCTTACCTTCATTGGAGGCCTCTTCTAGCCTTGATAACTTAAAAGTCTGTGCTGCGTAATGTTGCTTCATAATCATCATCAGTTTCATTCCTCCACCAACCAATAATGAAACATGAAATTTTAAATACTCTTTAGTCAGAGGAGGATTGTAACTGAGAATTTGAGATATGAGTCCCTCTAAGTTTTCCTCATAATCCATTAATGATACTCTCTGCCTTAGATTATTAAATTCACCAACAAAAACCACATAGCTCCAGCCAATAAAACTCCTACACAGAGCGACTATGAGCTCTTCCCAAACCCATTATCCCACCTTCAAACCAAACATTAGGTTATCTCTCAATGTAGATCGCTGCTAGTATTACTCTCTATTTAATAGGAATTCTATAAATCTTATAAAGACTCTTCACACTTCCTGGTCATTTTCCAAGAATTCCGCCATTAAAGTAAGCAAAATCCAAATAAGGAACCATATATTTATTATTAACTGGAGGTGGAATAAATTATCTTGTTTGCCAACTCGATTAAACGACACTAAACCATGAGGAGCCGACAGATTACTCGTCGACTCAACCCCCCTACGAATATGGTTTGGTTGAGGTAAAATTCTTCGATCGTTGTTTCGGTCCACTTATGGACCATCCAGATTGGAAACAACCATAGCCTAATGTTATCGACCTAGCTCATCCAATCCTCTCACAAGTTCGGCGAAATAAGATTCAGATCTGTTTTCTAATCCATCCAATCGAGTGTTAATTGTTATGAATTGGTGAGAGTGGTCTT